TAAGCCGCTACTCTACTACCCGAGCTATCGTGACTTCAGTCCCCTCGGGCCCTAACTTCCTATCTCAACCCCACCTTTTGAATTTTCCCTCCTTTTTGCCATTTTTCAAATGTCATGTAATCGGATTGGATTCTCGGCGACAAATGACGTGGGTTCGAATCCCTCTCGTGACATTGACGTTTTTATCTCAACTTAAAACCTTAATTAATTGAATGTTATTAATTGGTCAAGCGGACCATGAAAAATAGTGAATTGTTAATAGGCTTGATATCCTATAGAAAATGCAAGTAATTAAATCCAACTTTTTTCAGTTTTTGTTCCTTGTATAATTTGAAATAGATTCTCTCTGTAATGAGTTAACCTCATAAAGCGCTTTTGTCCTTTCTCGTTTGTGGTTAGTTTGTAGTGTCAAAGGAAGTCAGCCTGGTGAATGTGTTTGTGTTTGAACAGAAGTAGACGAGGGTTTGATGATGTCCATGTGAGGAGACACTTGTTGCTTCTGTTCTCATCTCGAGCTCCGCCGTGTAACACAGGGCCGCCTCTTTAATCTCCATTAATTCTCACGCAACACGCACTCCCAGATGACGAATTTATCTTTGCTCCCACACATTTCTAGCATATTAAGAGCCATACATTAAAATTAACATGAGATGAAGGAAATTTTCACTTTAAACACCCGGGAGATTAGCAAATTCTTACTTTCTTCTTTAATGATTTTAATTTGACAAACACAAAAATATTTTTGGGCAAGTTTTATCTGAAATTGATATAAGCTCTTTATTTTTATTTTCGAGAAGCTAAGAAGAAAGAAAAAGTAAAGAATAAACGTTTGTTGATAAATAATAGACAATAGTATGCCTTTTTTTAGAGTGTGAATAAATTAAACATTACATCATGGCATAGCAGTCTACTGGATGTTCAGGTCTAATTTGAAAACGAATCAAATAGAAAATTAAATTGAGAAAAGAAAGGAAAAGAAAAAGAGCAAAAACCGTGAACATAGTGTCAGAACTGCAAAAACAATATCAAATGGCAAAAGAGAAGATTTAATTTAAAATAGTATATTCCTTGAATATATGAAATAAATTAAAAGTAATAAATTTAATAAATAAAATAAAAGTGATCACGACAGTGAATTAGAAATTTAATTCTGTAACCAAAAATCACCGTTATTTCCAGGTTATTCTGCATAAGTCAGTTTTTTCCATCCGCCGTTTGTTCCACACAACAAGCTGAACTTCGTGTGAGTCGTGTTTTCCTCAGAACTGCCTTTCTAAACTCATTAAGGATGCGGCACAGAGGAAGTGGAGAGTGTCCTCCTCCTCGTCTATGTTACACATTGAACTTGACTGTCTGTTTTATATTCGTCGTTTGGCGTTAAGGTTTAAAGATTCTGCCCTCAAGCCGAAGATCCACCTCGCTAAGCTGAAGTCCACTGGAGGTTTACCAAGCTTTGGTGGTCATCCTCCAGTACAGCTTAAAAATTGTTGGTCAGTTGGGCGCGTCTATTAAGTTTTTCACGGCGAATCTAATATCATTTCGAGATCCTTTTTCAGTACTTTTTCACTCATACGTGAGAGATGATCTAGCTTTATATCGTACTTCCTTGCCAGACACGAGAGATTGTCTGCCCAAAATACATCTTCTTTTACACATTCTATTGCCAGCTTTTTTGGAAGGCGGTTACCGTGTATGGAAGCCACCTTCATCAATTAAGGTGTATTCTTAGCGTTTAGGTTGATGTGTGTCCAACTCTGTTTGATTAAAATGTAAAGCACGCCTTCCGTATACTCTTCCTAACCCCACACCTGAGCTACTTAGCACAAAATAGCTCGGATGAATTACTGCCCTGAATGGCACTCCTTGGCACTCCAGGGCATAACTCTGCTATCAAACGCCCTTTTCCAGACTGAATTTATCGCTACCGCTTTTTTGAGAAGCTATTCTACCATCTGTGCAACATTTATTATAGTCCAACTAATTCTTCCGTATAATCAGAAAATTCACTAGTTTTCGTGGTCCGCTTGACTAATTAATACCTTTCAATTAATTAAGGTTTTTAGTTGATAAAAAAGTCAATGTCACGAGCCGGATTCGAACCCACGACCTTCGGCTAAATACGCCGCTACTCTACCACTTGAGCTATCGTGACTTCGATCCACTCCGAACTTTCACTTTGAAAAATGGCAAAAAGGAGGAAAAATTCAAAAGTTAGTGTCTGCCTTTTTTATCTCAACTAAAAACCTTAATTAATAATCAGAAAGTTGTGCGGTTTTTTATTTGTTATTTGTTAATAACTTTAATCAAAATTTACATTTAATTAGGAGGATTATGTTTTACATCACGTAATGCTAATAGTGCGTCAGTTCATAAAGAAAGTGTCCTCTCCAGTTCACTTTAAATTATAAAATATTTTATATTGAAGCTAGATCAGGGATGAAGCTATGAAGGTAAAACAATCAAATTGTTTTCTTATCTCGAGTTTCTGGCCGTATTTGACGCCTTCCTCATTACTCTATTTAATTAAGTGCAATTTTTTAGTACACATTGTATATATATTAAATTAAAATGATTATTCTACTAACTTACTTGAAAACCTATTTTTTTTAAATTTTATAATTAGGCCGGAAAAGATCACAAAAATTCTTTTTATTATACTCATTAATATGTTAAAAGTTGTTGTATTCGGATGTTTCTCGTTCCAGGATGAATTGTACGAAGAATATTCTATGAGAAGATGGAATGGATGGAAGATTTTCCCTAATTCAATTCACTAATTTTCGTGGTCCGCGTGACCAATTAATACCTTTTAATTTATTAAGGCTTTTAGTTGAGATAAAAAAGTCAATGTCACGAGCGGGATTCGAACCCACGACCTTCGGCTAGATACGCCGCTACTCTACCACCTGAGCTATCGGGACTTCCCACTCGTGACATTGGCTTTTTATCTCAACTAAAAACCTTAATTAATTGAAAGATTGGTCAAGCGGACCACGAAAACTAGTGAGTTGAATAATTTAAAATGAAGTATACTTCACTAATGCTGTCCGTGGCCATTTCATTTGTCGTCGAGAATCGAATCCTGATTACACATTTGAAAAATGTCAAAAAGGAGAGAAAATTCAAAAGGTGGGGTTGAGATGGGAAGTTAGTGTCCGAGTAGGTCGAAGTCACTATAGCTCAGATGGTAGAAAAGCAGCGTATCACGCCGAAGGTCGTGGGTTCGAATCCCGCTCATGACACTGACTTTTTATATCAATTAAAAACCTTAATTAATTAATTGACAGTGTTCAAACTGAGCTCTGCACATTTACATCCCGATTGTAAAAATACTGCGATCAACATTCTAGTCAATAATGATTATTATTATTACTAATCATTAAACTAATATATCTGAGAGCAATAGTGATCTTACGTTAAGGAAATTTCAAATAAATTGTTATATAAGATTAGAGATTGTCTAATTTGAATTTTAAATTTGCATTTAATATAACGACAATCTTAGGAAGTACCTATTAAACAATGTAGTAATGTCAATAAATTGTCTTGCAAGGATTGTGAAAGTGTGTATTATGGACAAACTAACCAGTCAATCAAGGACAGATGTAGACAACATTAATACGTTTATATACTCTCAATACAACACACAATAATGACACATCTACACAGAAAACAAACACTTTGAGCCCTGAAGATGATCTCAATAAAGATCGAATCATTAGCAAGATAAAGAGAAAAATCTATGCCACACTATACCGCATCTCAATCCCCTAACCATCCCTAACCACCTAGAGGATTTATAATCTTGTAGTTGACACCCTCGTGAGAAAACCATAAAAAAATAAAAATACGATTTTTGTAAATCAAACTGTACATTGCAGAAGAGATTTCTGAAGTGTGAGATAAACACAGAACAAGGGCTTATTTAAACTCGTGAGGTTTCTTAAGTCCGGTTTTTAAAATAGGTAAGCTAGATAAATAGGTCAACTAAATTAGTTGAACAATCATTATTTTCTTTAGGTAACATGTAATAAAAAATTGCTCTTAGTTAAACAGTCCTAAGGAAGGTGTCAGACACAGCCAAATGCTCAACATCAGAAAACAAGTTGGTTTTTTTACCTTCATGGCTATATCCCTGATCTCCCAACTTTATTATTTACCATTGAAAGCCCATACCATACTCAAGAATATATTTTCTTTCTCATGGCTTCAAAACACATAATTCGTGCATGCTTATGTCCACCATCACTTAGTCGTGCAATCCGGTCCATTGTCACTGCCAATATTTTTTTTATTGTGTTCTTTGCTGCTCATACAGCTGGATCGCAGATGTTCTGTCTGGAAAGCGAGACATTCCAACTTTCACCACCTCATCTACACATTCATTGCTCTCCAGCCAACATGTCTGGGTACCCAGACGATTACCACCATTTTTTCAAGGAGTCCAACTCGTTGTATAGAGCACAAACTATTCCTGGTTAATTTTGGTTGCCATCATTAATTGGCCGTATTTAAAATTTTATATAATTTTATTTTCAATTTGACTGACACAAAAATTGGTCACTTTACTTTGTAGAAACAATGATTAAAGTAGGTTTCAGTTGAAAAAAATTGTTATTAAAATCCTCACTATTTTCAAAATAGAGCATCCAGTATTCAGTAACTACAACGGCATTATTGTGCCCTTATGTAACAAAACTAAAAACTTTATCTGCTTCATACTGTAAGTGGGGAAAAAACAAGGATATTTAATAAAATAATACCTACCAGCTATTGGAACTGAAATAGAGATTTGTTGTTTGATTGACAGTAGAGATTTGTTCATTATCTCTGTGTTTATAACTCCTCCATTTCACATGTATACATAAGTCCAAAGATTTTCATAGTTTCTAAATGCATAGTAAGCTCTCATTTGAATAGCAAAACCTAAGGCGAATAAAGCATTCTTAAAAATAAATAACTTTATTGAATCCTTACATACTTAGTATGTATGTACAATTTACAACAAATCTTCATTGAATGAAGATTATCAACACAAAAATAATAATAAACTTGATCAAATTTTAAAAAATTAATGAGAGATTACTTACATCAATAAGATAATAGTTTGCTTCTATTTACAAAAACTGTTTTATTATAAGAAAAATATGAAAAATATACATTCAATGAGGAATACCAAAAGACATTTTTACAAACTCTCCCTTCTTTTTGATTTAGGAACATTTCTTGTATTCTTGTCTGCTCGGTTTGCAGGTAGATTTAACCGTTAGCTCGAGTCTTTTCCATCCTGGAGAACGCACATGAACATTTTGGCACAAATCAATGTTAACATATCTACACAAACAAAATAAAGTGTTTTAAAAATTAATACTTAATGAATTTACAGAATATATTGTTCTTTCTACCTCCTAATTTATCCAATAGTGGAGCTCTTTTGTCGATGAAAATATAATAAACAGGAATTCCTGAGAGGATGATTATCAGTCCGATTCCCACCTCATATGGTTTAACGAAAAATGGCAAAGTCACAAGGAATATACAAGTTATGAAAAACACAATTGGTAAGACTAAAGAGACCTAAAAGGAAAAAAATATTATTTAAAAAAAAACATTAAAGTAAAAATTGTACATTCAAATTTTAACTACCTTTATTGGCCTCTCTGCATCAGGGTTTTTGTGTCGGAGCCAAAGAAGTCCACAAATCGACATGAGTGTGAATACAGCTTCGACAAAGCTTACGTAGTTGATTAAAATGTAAATATCTTCTATCAGAAGATAAACGATCGACATAATACACTGTACAGTTTTATTTGAAATTAATATTTATATTATTACTCTTATATTATACTAGACTTATTCTTTAAAAAAAAAACTTACCAGAAAAATCAAAGAAGGCACTGGTGTGTAATAATTTACATTTATCAAGGCTATCGCTTTCGGTAGGTGACCCTGTCTCGCTCCGACAAAAAATAGCCTAGACGAAGCAAAAATCGCTCCGTTCAGTGCCCCAAAAGTGGAACAGGCAACAAAAAACGGAATAAGCCAGGAGAAAGAGCCGAAGATTTTATCTCCGAAAGTCTGGAAATTATTGAGTTTACCTTAATAATTTTGCAAAATCGTTTTTTTTTTAATTTACATTTGGTTAATTTATTACATACCACAGCCACAGCAGGTGAATGCAAAAGTTCACCCTTCGTTAAGACGACGTAATAGGCGAGGTTTGTCAAGACGTATATGATCGTTACCATCGGGAGTGATATTTTAATAGCCCTCGGGAGATTCCTGAATGTACAAAACTAGGCTTAGAACATTCCACAATCTGGCAAAACCACAAATAGTAGCCACACTTACAAATAAGGGTTCTTCAGCTCTTCGGTGACAAAATTAAGATAATTCCTAAGTAACAAAGCATAATTTCAACAACTGGTTAAATTTCAAATCATATTACTTTTTTTTGTGTTTGTGTGTGTGTTAGGTTGTGTTGTGTGCTTAAAACTATGTTATGACCAGCTTATAATTATCTTTGTTTAGTCATCTTTTATGACAAGCAGGAAAACCTGCAGAGTTATTCTAACCCTCTCTCCACAGAGGAAACAAGTTTTATTTAAAAATCTATATAAAAACCCTTAATCTCCAGAGAAAACCTAAATTTGAACTATTACTGCGTGTTAAAAAGACTATATTTTAATATTAATATTATCTTCTTTATTTAAATAAGAAATACAATATAATTTAGCCTATTTACACTTATTTTTGCTAGGTCTCAAAGAAAAATCTTATGTTGTGTTGTGTGATTCTGATATGGTGTGTTCGCAATATTAATACACTTTCAATTCTGTAATTAATAATTTTATCTTTCACCACAGTTATTGTTAAAAACAAATGCCTTATTGTTCAAAATAATATACAAAATATTTTAATACATTATTAAAAAAATGTAATAAACCCACCATCCAGAATAAGAAAATAATCCTGAGTAAAAGGCCAAGGCTATAAACCCAGGAGCAGTTTGCGTCCCTTCCATTGCTGCACTGCTGAAGATATTAAACCCTTTTGCAAACATAAGCCAAATGCCAGCGATGATGATCATCAAAAGCGCAAGGACTTTTGTCCCAGTGAAAATGTCCTGCACTCGAGTAGCGCATTTGACGTTGTAGCAATTGATGAATGTCAGAAGACCTGGAAATATGAGGGATTAAAACTAAATAAGATCTCGATGTTATACGCACTCACAAGTGACTAGCGCTGCCAACAACCTTACTGCGCCGTACTCGCCAGATGGTTCGCACGGCCACAGGTCTTGCAGGATGTAGTGGGCGAAAGTGAGCGCTGTTATGGCATTGCCAGTCGGTACGAGGATCAAGAGGCCGACCCAAAGATAAAGAAATGCAGGAAGTGGGCCAAACGCTTCATTTATATAAGCATAGTCTCCGCCACTTTTTGGTATCATCGTTCCTGCAAAATAGAAATTGATACTTTGTAATTTTTTTTATATCTTTCTTTTCAACGTGATCAGAAAAAGAGAGCATAAAAGAATTAAAGAAAAGGCTATTTGCTTCATTTGAAACTTTAGTTTATTTACTATTTTACGGTATACAAGAAAAATCTAGTTTATTAGTTTTATGCCTGATTATCAGCATAACTAACCACATTACATCGACATGATATGAGTTGACACTTCAACTTAAGATTTTTTCAACAATCTAGCAGTAAAATTGAATTTGGAAAAAATGTTGGTGCTGTTTATTAATTATTTCTATAATATTTTATTGGTTTGCATCAGTTTATAACACATTATCATTATATGTGATGTTAAATTTAAACAATGTTTGTGAATCCCAGGCCCTGAAGATGATCTCAATAAAGATCGAAACGTAGACACGATAAAGAAAATGTTTTTCTGAAACCTACATCACACACACCACCTGCATCGCACAATTTCTGAATTATTATCATTATAGCAAAAAAACAGCACAGATATTGCAGTCAACTGTTTAAAGTATTGTGTGTGTGTATTTCTTAGTGGTCTGTTGTTTCATAATTTGTTGAAGTCATGAGGAACGGTCAAGAATGCGGTAGTTTAGAAAAACACCTTTTTCATTTTTTTGCCGACATTTCAATCTTTATTTGGGTCATCTTCAAAGCATAAAGTGTGTTGCTATTATTGTGGTGTCACAGCACTTTCACACAACACCAACATGACACCATTTAACAAATTATTGATTACTGTATTTAAAACAATTTGTGGTCATTTTCCATCATTTTGGTATATTTCAATTTTATGCTATTTTCAGTCCTGTTTCTGTCGAATTTGACGAGAAGCTAAAATGGATCTAACAGACCAAAAACCAGCAAGGATAGACAAATTAAAATGATCAAAAAATACCAAACTACAATCCCAAAATAAGTAATTTATCAGGATTATTTAATAAGAAAATCAAATATGTATGTTTATTTATTTTTGTAATTTTTTTTAACCCATTTGTAAGTAGGCCGCTGGATTCCAACCTGGGACCTTTACCCTACAGTGATGAGCACATGTCATCAAGCAATGTGTCAACGCCAACGCCTAAACCTTTATGGCCACCAACACCCCTACTTACCTACTTATTTCTTTAACAGTGTAATACGTCATATATACCATAAAATCAATATAAGACTTCAAAAAACAAAACTGTCATAAGTAGATTTAATTTTGATGTTGTATAAGATTTACCAAGCAGCATATGCATATAGATAACAAATTGCCAGATTTGTTCATGTCCTGACTGGTGTTTCTTTAATTTTAGCACAACATGTAAATCCCAATTTAATTTTTCCTATGCAAAATTATTATTAATATTGTAGGTTGAGATGGAAAGTTGGTGTCCAAGGGGATCCAAGTCATGATAGCTCAAGTGGTTAGAGAGAGGCGTATTGAGCTAAGGTCAATGGTTCAAGTTCAAATCCCGTTCATGATGCCAGCTTTTTCATTCAACCGAAACCTTACATAAAAAAAGATTAATTAATTGAAAGAAGTAATTTAGTCAATCAGACCACTGAATATAATGAATTATTAATATTAATAAATAATAAACTTACAAGATGTAATTTTAGGATAAGTAAAGGACTTCCTGTCATACCGGATGGCTTAATTTTCAACTACCCATTGAGAGTAGCGGGGGTCAAACAATTTTACAATATTTTTTCTATAATCAATCATCATGGTATTCAAACCCAGATCTGCTAGGGTGGCAAAAATAAGTCGGACACCCAACCATCCACCCACCATGGTCCCATCTAATATTAATATACCAATTTATATAAACTCAACTCTGAATTTGAATGGTGTATGCCATCTCACTGCAAGCCGTACGAATCAACTTCCTCTAATTTCAATTGCCAGGGTCAACACCTAGGCCATTTCATCTTGCATGCAGTTTTCTAACCTAAACAAATTTACGTGCCAGTCACTCTATTAGGGGAACTTGAAATTCTCCAACACCCTTTACATATACTATAAATATATCTAATTAATCTAATTGAGGGTCTATTGGCTACTCAATTTTCAGCTATCAGCCCTCTAATAATAATTTATTAACACTAATAAATACATTCACTCTCAATATAACAAAAAGGAAACACAAGACAAGATAAACATTAAATACTATATACAATAAAACAGCTGTTTCCTACAACAATTGGAAGAGGAAACCAAATACGCTCTGCTGTGGTCAAGTATAAGTCTTATACTCCCCCTAACTCTCCTGCACTATAGGTCCATTTCGAGTACTGTCATCCTAGCCAGGGTCTATCATATTCAGGTATTTTCCTCATCAGCCGAATTCATGTAACTAAACTCCCTGTCCATATTAGCGCAGGCTATGGAGAATGATGACCTAGGCACTGTTAGGGAGAGTGTGAGGAATATTCTCAGTAGCTGATTGATCTCGAGTTCCCTGAACGCCACTACTACGCCCACTACTTTAAGGAGATTTTTTTTTTGTTATCTCGGGGAGGGCTTTGACCCCATATTTTTGCACTTTATGGTACACCAGCCGAGCCCACAGACCCATACAGACAGAAAGTAGAGATCTAGGATGAATATTCCATCCTCACTGGTGTAAAGAATATAAACATCCAGCCTGAGACATGTCCCATCCGGTGGAAAGTTCCAACCCGAATCTCAGATTAGGACCTTGGGGCACTCATCATACCTTACAGTGGTTCTCTGGGCATTTGGACAGAGAGTGATAGACGTGTCTCTATGCCAGCCATATACTACATTCAGCGGATATGTTCAGTGCCTATCAAACTGGTCCTAAGGCGGAAGGCACTGATAAAACCTAGGCTCATGAAGGATCTCCGAAGGAGCGAGCCATTGGTTGCCCACCGCATCGCCGGCAAAAATCTTCACCCAGTGACCCGTCGCATACAACCGTTTTAGGGAGTAATTGAGGAACTGCAGGAAACCATCAAGCTTTATTTTATCCTAGGTCAATTATTTTATAAACTTTATTTTTAAAGAGTTGTAAGTAATGACAGTACACTACACCGGCCGTTGTTACAGCCCATATTACATTGGACATTTTTCAACGTCGCTCCTGGCAATTAAAAACAATTTCTAAACTGTTCGTATATCTCCCAGAGTTATTACGGCCTGGCGCGGAAGGAAGCTATTGAAACAAATTCGTGGACAATTAGGCGTGTTTAAAGTACAAAGAGGCCGTCTCTCGACTCGTTTGACGTCTTCACGAGCCGATTACTTTCCCGGTGCTCGTTCCTTTACTGAGCGGACGCTATTCGTGTCCTAAGGACGATCAGGACACAAGAAAGATGTTTCTTCCTTCTCGTACTCCAAATCAAGTGGGCACAAACAGCTCGTAATCCAATTGTCTCATTTCGGAGAGGAACCAGCGCCCCTAATTTTTTGAGACAACGATTCGAGTCGAACGAGATTTCCTGATTCATTTCCTGAAACTGAATAAAGCCTATTGTGGTTTTAGTTTTTAACGATTGGATGACGAAGAGATAAATCCAAAAGTCACTTGAAATAAAGCATATCATATACATTTGAAGAACATAACTTTCTCCAAATGTAAGTATTTTTTAAGCATCAGGACAAAGGATTTTTTTAGGGGTGATGGCAATTGAACCGATCTCACCGCTACCTGAGGTGGGAATGCCCGTGAACCTTATTTCCTGATTATTTGGAGATGGTGAGATGCGGTCTGGTGTGATGTAGGTTTAGAAAAACATTTACTTCATTGTGCCAACGTTCCGATCTTCATTGAGATCATCTTCAGGGCCTGGGATTTACAAACATTATTTGGATTACACAAATGCATGTATGGTATGGTAATGAGGATACTAGGTAACGGGGTTTGTGCTCCCCAGGCACTGCAGCCTTCTGGCTTATTGTACCTTCCTGGTTTCCTAGTTCAGTGCAATCGTCACAATCCTTCTTCTTAGAAGTATCAGTCCATTGACTGTCACTGCTACAATTTCATTTTATTTTTTCTGTTTGCTAGGATAAGGTGATTGAGCTGTTGCTTCGCATTCGAAGATGATACGAGTGGCTCTTTCCTCCTCCTCATTATATAATATGCAGATGGGATCATAGTTGTATATGCCAATGTTGTGTAGACGTTTTCTCAGATGCCAGTGACCGGTTAGTCCTATCACAACTCTGAGTTTATCTCTCTCCACTTGCAGCAGTGATTTTGCCAGACTTGGTGAGGGTTATTTCATCGTAAGTTTACTGTGTCTAGCGCCGCTATAGTTTATCCACTTCTCTTTTGGATCCATTCTGCAATGGAGGGCAAATACATGTAAGATGTGAAAATGAATTTATACAATCATGTACGCATTACGCAATATAGAAATTTTAGGTTTATTCAAAGTATTTGTCTCACTGAAATTGAGTGTTTTTTGTATATCACGGTTGTGTGTCGTGTTGCGAATGTTAGAAAGATATAAATGTTTCTTGCTTATATATGTTTGATTTTGAAGGTGTGAGGAAGGAAGTAGAGATAGAAATTCATTTTTCTATGAGGAGGCGGAAAGGGACCGACAATAGAAAAAAGGGTAATAGTTTGTCGTTCGGGCTTAGTTATCTTTTCAGGATCATTATCGATGGGATTATTACGGAAAGGAAGGATTAATTTAAACATTTTCCCCTTCTGGAAGGTGCACTGCCAACTGAACAACTAACTTAAATTGTAATTAGTTTCTTCAATACGAAAGGAAACAGGTGTATGCAACTGCTGTAAGTCTTCAGGACACCACCAAATACTAAATTTCACTCAATTCTTGTTTTAAGTTTAATAAAAGTTTCCCATTCTGTAACAACTTTGGAAACTGAAGAAACCCTTTCGATTTTATCTAATTTCTCTCAGTCACATATGTACTTCTTTTCCAAATTAAACCCATGGATATGTGTAATGTGTGGTGATTAGTTACCGTTAATCGATATT